GGTATGGTGGAGCGCATGAATCAGACCTTAGCGGGGAAACTCAAACGTATGGCGGCCGCAAACCAACGAGATTGGGACAAACACCCCCCCTACGCCCTTTTCGCCTGCACCACCACCGTACACACGTCGACGGGACAAACCCCGTTTTTAATGATGTTCGGCCGTGAGTCTCGTTTACCTGCAGACCTGCTGGTCGGCGTTGCTTCCCCCCAGCCGGAGGAGGGAAGCCGCCCAGTGGAACACCTGATGGAGGCCCTGCGAGAAGCCCGAGGCCGAGCATACCCGCAAGGGGAAGCCGCGCATCGGCAACAAGAACAGGGCGCCCGACCCTGCATGAAACCCCCCTTATTCCTAACCGCGTCGGGGCCGGGCAGGTGGGGAAACTGACGACCTACTGGCGAGGACCCTGGACCGTGGTGCGGCAGATCTCCCCCTGGACGGTACTAACCTATGGCGGGGAGAGGGGTCGAGAGACGGTGGTCAACGTCCGCCGCTTAAAACCATGGAAAGCGGCCCCGGCGCGAGAGAATCCCGGGGTACCCGCACCCCCCGTGTTTGGGGGCCTCGCACGCTACATGGGCCCCGCCAGATGCCCCGATCCAGTCAGGAGACGGCGCGGACGACGGCCCCTAAACCCTTCTGCTGCTGAGTTTGTGCCCCAGCCCACAGGTGCCGGAGGACGGGGAGAGCCGCTGGAGTGGAGGAGGAGGCCGCCGCAGGAGCTACAGAGGACGGAGCCGCCTGCCCCGAGACCAGCCACGAGGTCTGGACGGATCCCCCGGACCCCGCAGCATTTTCTCGTGGACGCGGCCCAAGCAAGGTGCTCCAGTCAACCCGAGACGGGGACCAGCACCTCGGGGGGCTATGTGATGCCGCCGCCACGAAGCCGTTCAGCAGGCGCCCCACCCCGACCTCGCCACCACCAAGTGACGGAGCCGACCCCCGCGTCCCCCTCACCTCACATAAACACACCCACACGCATTCCCCCCCCCCCCCATAGAGCTCCGAGGGGAAGTCACCTGGCCGACCGGTTTTTATCCGAGAAGCCCTTATCGGGATTAACTTTCACGGTTTCCTGCGGCTAGGAAATTGGACGACCTGCCCGACGCTACTTCGCACCGCGGTGCTGTGACCGGCATTAAGATTGCATGGTCGCGGCGAGGGGCCACTCGGCCACCGCGGTTGAAACGCACCCCACACACAAGCGTATCGACGGGGCAGGCAGAGGGACATAAGGAGGAGCATTATTAGAATAAGCGCCGCGCATAAGCATTGTTATGGAGGAGCATAATTAGAATAAGTTCCGCAACACGCAGCGCATCTTATTAGCATAGCAAAGGCGCCCCGGAACCGCCGCACGCGCCCTGACTGGCGCGCGCCCATTGTTAAAGAAAAACTGGGAGTGCATAACCACAGGCGGGGCGGCATCTCTTTGATGTAGGGACGATAAAAGGGGGGCGCAAACGGGTAGATATCCCTCTCACTCCAAGAAGCCAGCGATCAAGGCGGCTCCCAGCTCTGCCCTCCGGACGTCCATGCGACGTGCCCAGACGAGCAGCGAGGAGATTCCACGGGACACCGGGTACTTCGAACCATGAGTAAGAAGGTTCATTAGTATCATAAGCCGATAAATATGGAATAGGTCCAGGGGTAGTAGAATAGGCCAGCCTCGTCGATTCATACTGATTTAACATCAATTCCCAGGTATCCGAGAATAAACCATTAATAACCCAGCGCAGCCTCGAGTGGTCTTACGAGTAGGTGTCGCGTGTGGAGCTGTGTGTGGGTGTGGGCGTACGTTCGCTACATGTCTGATACAGGTGCGCATTGGTAACGTGGTTATTCGACGTGGAGGAGAGTGCTGCACCGGGCTGTAGACGGGCACACGCTCGCGGCGTGCGAGAGCTGTACGTAGCGGTGTAGAAAGGGGGAGTATGGCGTTTGATTGATGATGCTGTGCGTACGTATGCTCGCAGCGTGGGAGTGCTGCGCGAGGCTGTATAAGTAGGGGGCGTCGCTTACGAATGCCGGCGAAACCCTAGCGGGTATTAGGGCGGTGCGGTAACGCAAACGGAATCGGGGATGCAGGCGGAGGAGACCCCGGGGGCCAACGGCCCCCACAACTACAACGTTGACGATTTGAGTTCCGTGACGTTCCGCTGGTGACTACAACAACAATCAGCTGCATCGGGCGATTTGCCAGGCAAAGCCCACTGAGCTATGCAGCTCTTTTATAGTTTTACACACAGAAGCGACCTCGCCACACGTAGAAATGTATTGCAGCCAAATACTCATAATTCTAAATGTGGAGGTTAAACCTGAGAAACATCCACGTAACCACAGGGAGAGAGAGAGACACGGAAACTCCGAATATACAGCAGCCGTCAGGGTTGGGATCGAACCCACGACCTCCTGTACACCAGGCGAGGTAGTTAACATCTCCTAGTCATCGTGGCACTTTGATGTGGAATGATGCTCTGAGCCTCGTGTCAGTGTCTCGTGAACCAAGATACTTCTCATCCTATTGTCACCCTTTAGTTGGCTGTCGGTTTCCTGAACAGAAAAAAATAATCGCATGTTAACTTCTGAAGATCATGAAACATAAAGGAGGAGGGGGGAGGATGGGGAGGATGGGGAGGAGGGGGGGTAGGCGGAGGGGGGGAGGAGGAGGGGGCGACACTCTGTCAGTGTAACGATGACGGTGGAATGCAATCACCGAGCACGCTTCACGACCATCTTGATGAACACCGCGCGATGGAGCCCGGCTTGTGACGAAGCCTTTTGAAGGCGAGGGTCACGCTAGGGGCTGAGAGGTGGTCAGATGGCGCCACATGGAGCAGGAAGGGGAGAGAGAGAGGGGAGACACTCTATTCCACACAAACTGAATAGATCTCCATTATGAGGGGCTGGTGACCGATCTTGTGTAGGTAATGTGTGAAATATATGAACATATAATAATTTTTTGCTAATTACAATTCGGCATCACCCAAAGATTATTCCTCAGATTTGTGTTTTTTTTGGACTCTGCCCCAAGCGGTTCCAATGGAGGATCACGCAACAACATTGGTGATGGTTGTTGTGGTGGTGGTTATTGTAGTACTTGTGGTGGTTGTTGCGCTGGTGGTTGTGGTGGTTGTTGTTGTGTTGGTTGTGGTGGTTGTGGCGGAGGTTGTGGTGGTTGTTGTAGCGGTGGTGGTTGTGGTGGTTGTGGTGGTTGTTGTAGCGGTGGTGGTTGTGGTGGTTGTGATGGTTGTGGTGGTTGTTTTGGTCATAGTTGTGGTGGTTGTAGTGGTGGTAGGTGTGGTGGTTGTTGTGGTTATTGTGGTGATGGTGATTGCTGTTGTGGTGGTGATTGTTGTGGTGGTGGCTGTTGTGGTTATTGTGCTAGTGGTTGTGGTGGTGGTTTTTGTGGTGATGGTTGTTTTGGTGGTGGTTGTTGTGGTTGTGGTGGTGATTGTTTTTGTGGAGGTTGTTGTGGTTTTGGTGGTGCTTGTGGTTGTGGTGGTGGTGTTGGTAGTTGTGGTGGCCATTGTTATTGCGCTGGTGGTTGTGATGATTGTTGTAGTGATTGTTGTTGTGTTGGTTGTGGTGGTGGTTGTGATTGTTGTGGTGGTGGTGGTTGTGGTCATTTTTGTGGTGGTAGTGATGGTGGTTGTTGTGGTGGTGATGGTTGCTGCGGTGATGGTTGTTGTGATGGTGGTGGTTGTTGCTGTGGTGGTGATGGGTGTTGTGGTTGTTATGGTGGTGGTGGTTGTAGTTGTTGTGGTCGTTGTTGTGGTGGTGGTTGTGGTAGTGGTGGTTGCTGTTGTTGTTGTTGCTGCTCCACCGCCTTCTCCTGATAAGCACCAGGGCCACGTGGCGCCCTCGCGGGGAGTTCCCAGCAGCGTCAGTGGTGATCCACCAACCCGGCAACCCCCCCCCCTCACAGTGCTGGGTCACAGCGAGGCTGCAGGGTGCCCCTCAGGGCCTCTGTTTGTTTTTGTTGTCGCCAACGCGGTGACGTGGTGACGTCACAGCGCGGGACTCCCCCAGTGGCGGGAACCCAGAACGTCAGAATCTGTGTTTGTAGTGCAGGAGGAATCCGATGAGCTGTGAAGCTCTTTGTGTTCACAGATGGTGCAGTGGTGAGGGGCGGGCGTGGGGGGGAGCGAGTGGAGCGGTGGGGGGAGAGGTGACCTGGTGACGTCACTGCGTTGGGGGAGCGTGAGTGGTGACGTCACCACGTTCGGGGAGCGTGCGTGGTGACGTCACCACGTTGGTGGGGAACGTGCGTGGTGACGTCACCACGTTTGGGGAGCGTACGTGGTGACGTCACCGCGTTGGAGGAGCGTGCGTGGTCACGTCACCACGTCCATGACGCAGCAGCAGATGACTTTAACAGCTCGGACATTTTTGGCGCCTTTTGTTTTTGTTGACGTCTCTTTATTTGTTTATTAATTTGTTGATTTCATATACTTGGCAGTGGCTATGTAGGGGATTTGCTCCTCGTGTTTAATTAATGAACAGCGTTGCGGGATGCAGTGAGTACGAATGACGCTGTACACAACCACATTGTTTTTGTTGTTGTTTGTGTTCTGTATTTTTAATGTAGAATAGACGATACAAGCGTGACATTACCATTGCCGTACGCGCACATTTATACTTTTAAAAATTAACAATATTATTGTTTTGACTTAACTTTTATTTTTAATAATATTATTGTTGCTGCTGTATCTCTCCCACATCCCATGACACCACCAGTGTATAAACACATCCCAGTTCACCATTGCTAATCACTGCACCCCAACACTACAGTCACACTCCTCTGGCAGGGTGAATACATCCACGTTGGCTTCACACACACACAGAGCGGTACCTATGTTATCCCCCCTCCCCCTACCCATAAAGATTGTGAGGATTGTTTACGCTCAGCCCCCCCCCCCCTGTTGTGATGGAGAGCCACGCAGCCCCTAGCCACCGACAGCCACCAGCCAGTCACGAGCGTTGCGAGCGCCGTGTGTCGTAGCGTCTGCCCTCTGCGCTGTTCATGTTCACCTCTCTCAGGACGCACCACTCAGATCCACAATCCTCACTGAGTCATCATCATTCCACACTGCCAGCCCAGGATGTAGGGGCTGAGTGAAAGTTTTATTAAACGAGTGCAACGGCGCCATGGAGTCGGCGCTGTAAAACGACAGCAGCCCCGCGTCCCAGTCCAGGTGGACCCCGACTCTCCGCGGAGGCTGCGGCACCGACAGTGACGTCTCTACCCCGCCATGCCACACTGAGAAGCTGTCGCCATTTTTCCGTAGACACCAGGAGACGTCGCTCCCTCCCAGGCAGCACTCAGCACCAGTCCCTCTCCGTGGGATCGTCCCGTACGCGACTCCAACCCGACACAGCCCCGCGCTCCCCACGTCCACCTCCCAGTAGTGCTGAGCCGACGAGAAGCTCTCAGAGCACAGGGCTTGTGGCCGGTACTCAAAGCGGTGTGGGTGATGGGGGCGACCCTGGGGGACACCGCTCAGCGTCACCGTCCTGAGATCCGAGGAAATCTGGAGGTCGTCGTGGGCTGAATTTGTGTCCAGAGTCGGTGAGCGTCCATCTGTGGTGAGTAATAGTGTACACATACGAATATCGTTAGTATAAATGTACACATACTGTATAATTACTAACAGTTCTACACTAACTTGACTATGTGTGTGTGTAGTGGTAGTGTAGAGTGGTGATGATGTTAGCACCACGATGTGAACGCCACTCTCACACCCACGCACAGACATTGTGTGTCACAGCCTCGCACACTCTCACATCCACACACAGACATTGTGTGTCACAGCCTCGCACACTCTCACACCCACACACAGACATTGTGTGACACTCCGCTGCTGGATGAGCGCCTCCCCACGCCGTGCATGTCCTGGGGGGGTTAAATGACCATACTTCACCGCTCTCGTTGGTGTTCATTGGCGATGGAGGGGATCGTGAACGTAGAACCGTACAGGTACAGTACAACAATGGTTCACGCTGCGCTGCCCTCTGCTGCCCACCCCTTCACAACACTAGTAGCGAATATTTGGCTGCTTCTATAAATGTCCACACGGTGACGATCTCAGCCACTTGGTTGAGCTGTCATTTGTGGTGTCCAGGTCGCTTCTGGACAAGAGCTAGACAGCTCAGTGGGGCCTTGTCTGGTTGAATAAAATAAGTTCAGTCTATTGGTCTCCATGTATCTCTATTAGTCCTTTTGTATCTTTATGGTTCTCACTGTATCTATATGGGTCTCAATTTATCTCCATGGGTCTATGTATATTTGACTGCTGATATAAATGTCCATGTGATGACGGTAATGAAGTCAGCCGTTTGGTTGAGCTATCATTTGTGACGGTCAGCTCGCTTCTGAACAAGAGCTGCTTAGCTCAGTGGGGTCCTGCACCTGGTCAAATAAAAATTGGTTAAATAAGTGGGTCAGAGAGCCCCGCGGCCTATAGCACCTGCTATGCACGGTGGTCACCCATCTCCTCACTAACCAAGCTCAACGCTGCTTAACCAGAAATAGAATTCACGTGCAGTGCGTAAGCCGCTGTTCCACCGCTCCCCCAGTGTGTATACTAACTGTTAAACTTATAAACTAGTGGGTGAATGAGTGGGGGTTTAGGTAGGTGAATGAATGGGTGAGTGGGGGTGTGCGTAGGTGAGTGAGTGGGTGAATGAGTGGGTAAGTAGGTGAGTGGTTGAGTAGGTGAGTGGGTGGGTGAGTGAGGTAATAAAAGTGTGAGAGAGTGAGGTGGGGGAGTAAGAGTGTGAGTGGGTGAGTTATTGAGTGAGTGAGGTAGTGAGAGTGTGTATGACTGTTTAGCCTGGGATGTATTTTGACCGTTAATCCCAAAGCTGCCTTAATCCATCTCTCTGAACCTCGTGTAGCGATGCACGGTGTTGGCTACGTGCGGACAATCTCGCTGCAGTGATCCACTCCGCTGTGACTTGAGTGAGAGTGATCTCGTGCTGGAGCAGTGGGTGCACCAGCAGTTGTTGTTCACTCGTGTCGCTGTGAACCGAGCGACCTCAGTTTGATTACCAGTGATCCACTCCGCTGTGACTTGAGTGAGAGTGATCTCGTGCTGGAGCAGTGGGTGCACCAGCAGTTGTTGTTGTTCACTCGTGTCGCTGTGAACCGAGCGACCTCAGTTTGATTACCGGCTGTGGCTAACAATGGGGCCGAGCAGCATCAAAACTGGTACTTGTCCTATCCATTCACAAAAACACAGACACACAGTGGCCACCGTGGTGAAGTATGGTCAAGCAACCTCCATATTCGCCACGCTATGGGAGGCCTTCATCCAGCGATGGATTGACAAAGGGCTGTAAATGAGGATCTTACACTGAAACTCTGAGACCCAGTCAATCATTTAAATTCCGTTGTACTTTTTAAAGTCCTGGTTGTGAAGGCTGCATTCGCGATAATTAAACAGTTGTAATATCCATCCTACAGTTCGTTTTATGTTAACAGTTTAATCTCAATTTGCCGGCAGTGATCATATGGCTCACTTCATCTTACTTCTCACCTAGCAGCCACTTTCGTTAACCAATAGTGAACCCACTGCACCCACGGGTGATGGTCAGCGTCTAAATGAGCGTGACAGGACTGGAACGTGTTTCGTCTGTAGCTTGAAAGTCGCCCTTTTGCTCTCAAGAAACGCACTGTCACGTTGCTGTTGTTGTTTGCAGCTCTGGATGAGTGACACCCTTTGTGTTGTTAGCGATATTTCACCCTTCACCTCGGGGCCCGTATCATGGCCTGAATGTATGCAGGTCTCCCTTGCCAAAGGGGTCACGCTGCATTAATGCACTCAAGCCTGGGTAAAACAAAGGACGCCCTCTAAATGGGTTGGATTTGTCGGCAATCCGGAGTCTGTAATGGAGTATAACAAAGATCGTCGTGGCAGAGCGACGTACCGAGAAAAGCCAGAAGTTTGGTTTGGACGCCGCCCACTGAGATGACTTTTGCGAGGTTCAGACCGTGGGAGACGGGGTCTGGGTCATCCTGAGTCTCCTGGGAGACAGAGCTCCTCCTGCACTCACAGCACAGGAACACATAGAGTCTAATGAGGATCCACGTCTCTCTACACACAGCACAGGACACACAGAGTCTAATTGATGGTCCATGTCTCTCTACACACAGCATGAGACAGAGTCTAATGAGGGTTCATGTCTCTCTACACATGGACAACACAGGCAGCCCTCGACTTGCGGACGCCGGTACTTACAAATCAGCTTCCATGAAATAAAAAAATTACTTTGACTTAAAATACAAACTCGCAGTTGCAAACTGAACCGCAGAACTATTTTGTTCAGAGAAGCGATCCTCTGCCAGGTGCTGGGAGTGTTTGCGTGTGTACGAACATTTGTGTGTGTGTGAAAGTGTGGGGGTACAGCTGGTGCATCTACCAGTCATCTCTATCAGCCAACCCATGGCACCTGGGTCTGTCCCGAGACCTCGTGTCAGCGAGCCTTCCACATTTCACGTGGCCTCAAAGTGCACCTGGCCTGGCACAGGCGCCATGGTAACGTCGCCATCACTTAGTGGTGAATGGCGGGTATTGGTGTGGGGAGCGGTAGTGTCACGTTGAGTGCGCTGTGCTAAGAAAGCGGCGATCCGAGTTCGATTTTTGCTCACGCCAACACCAGTACCTAGTGTGGTGCGTAAACATTGCCATTGGGGAGACAAACGCAGCGGGCCGTGATGCTGGCCACCCACCCCCTCGTGTGCCACAATGGCGGCCATCTTGGGCACTGCTCGCTGAGAGAACTTGCCCCAAACAGCCTGTTAAGGCTACACGGGGGATTGTTGTCGTTGGGGTGTCTTTGTATTTGCATGCGTGCCGCGTTTGTTGTGGTGACTAATTGCCCCCCTTCCGACTAGAGGCCAGCATCAATGCAAGTGAACATTAATTTAGTTTTCTATTTATTTTATTTTATGTTTAATTTACTATACAGTAATTTTTTTACATTGTTAGATGCAAATGTACAACATTTCTTCTTTATTATGAGTTTAACAATGCTTCCCTCTTTGTTGAACCATAACACATTTTATAACCGTGTCAGCATTTAAATACGGTGCATTATTTTCCGACTTACGAACGAGTCTCAGGAACAAACTACGTGCGTAACCCGAGGACTGCCCGTACGGGATACAAGAGACTATATGGGTTCCAACTGCATAATGGGGTTTATTAGGAATCACATCACGACCGTTCAATTATTTGTCCACCAGATGGCAGACAAAGCTCGAGTTTGAGTCTGGGTTGGTACTGACCTGAGACTCTCATGCAGAGGATCCTGAAAAACACAAACCCGCGTTTCACATTAACATTGACATCTTAAACAGATGCCCCACCTCCACACAGGCGCCTGCTGTTTACAGTGGAGCGTGACATCAGGGAATTAACAAATACCTGCACACTGAGAATGGTGAAAAACAGGGTTAGTTTAACTGGACACGGACGGACGTCTAAAAATGACGAAACCGCTCTTTACAGGTCTAGTCCAGCACCTACATGAGTGGTTTAATAACGCGCAACAACTCGTGTGTTTAACTCTGAATAAAGTGAACTTCTTAATTTTTTAGCAGGTAAATCCCACTGAGCTATGTCACTCTTTTTTCAGAAGCAACCTGGCTATCACAAATTACAGCTCAACGAATTAGCTTATCACGTGGAAATTTATAGTGGCTGCCTAATTCTCTGAATGTGTGATGTTGATTATGAATGTGTAAGAAAAAATCAGAGAGAGAAAAAAAAGGCAAACTCTAAATATACAGCAGGCTTCGTCAGGGTCGTGGTCAAACCCACGACCTCCTGCATAGCAGGCGAGGTAAATAGTGATGTACTAGACAAGTCCAGGTCTGAATGTCACACAGAAATATAAGCGCGTCTATTTCTGGACACCGCCACTTGCTCCCAGATCGAAAATCAATTAAATAAGTTTGCCAACAATGTCAACATCTCACAGGGCGGTGTGTCTCTGCTGGTTGATGATAAACCCTCTGATAAACCAAGGCTATGAGTATAAACTATAAACATAGTTTTTTATACCTTACCAGTTAAGGCCCACTGAGCTATATAGCTCTGATTCAGAAGTAACCTTGCCACAAATGATAACTCAAGAAAGTGGCTTATCGTGTGGAAATTTATAGCTGCAAAAAACTCTAAATCCATGCCTCCACGAGAAGAGAGGCGCAAACTCCAAATTTACAGCAGACGTCAGGGTTGTTATCGAACCCACAACCTCCTGCATATGTGATGCCGCCGCCGCGAAGCCGCTCGGCGGGCGCCCCATCTACGACCTCGCCACCACCAAGCGACGGGGCCGACCCCGCTTCCCCCTCAGCGCTCCCCACATAAACACACCCTCACATAATTCCCCCCCCCCCATAGAGCTCCGAGGGGAGGTCCCCTGGCTGGCAGGTTTTCACCCGAAAGCCCTCGTAGGGATAATCTTCACGGTTTCCTGCGGCCAGGGAATTGGACCTTCCCCGATGCTAATTCGCACCGCGGCGCTGTGACCGGCGTTAAGATTGCATGGTCACGGCAGGGGGCTGCCCAGCCACCGCGGTTGAAACGCACCCCCCACACACGTATCGGCGAAGCAGGCAGGGGCCCACAACCACGAACTAAGGGGAAGCCAGAGGGGGGGGGGGGCGGCTGATTGGCGTGGCGGTGTGCTCGGGAACCGCCGGCGCGCCGCAGCACGCGGCGAGCCTTGTTACAACAAGCCGCAGCTGATTGACATAATAAAGGCGCCCGGGGGCCGCCGTCCACGCGCCACGGTCAGCGCGCGCCCATTGTTAAGGAAATCGGGAATGCGGCTTGAACGAGTACGGCGACCTGATTGGCCGAGAGGGCCCCCAGGTCGGAGGTCTTTGATGTAGGAACGATAAAAGGGGGGCGCAGACAGGTAGAGTTCCTCTTGCTCGAAAGTCAGCCCACGGGAAGGTCTCCAGCCCGGCCGCCCGAACATCCGTGTGACGCGTCGAGGTGCGCAGTAAGGACGAGATCAACGGAACGCCGTGAGCATCTAACCGTGAGTAAGGGGAAAGGGAGTTTTGGGATAGAGGCTAGAGGAACCAGAACCGCTTAGAACCAGTCAAATCGGATAAATCAGGTACAGACCCTGGGACGTTAGCGTAGACCTGCCTCGCCGATCAATACGGACCCAACAGTAAAGCGCAGTCGCCGATAATAAATCACTAAATAACACAGCGCAGCCTCGTGTGGTTTTACGAGTGGGTGAAAGCGCGTGGTGCTGTGTGTAGGTGTGTGCGCTCGTAGCGTGGGTGGTCGGTGCGTCCACGGGTACCCGCTCCGTCTGTCGCCGCGGAGACTTGTGCGGTGTGAGGGTTCACACCCACCGTAAACCCCTGTTCCGCGGACCCTTTAAACGAGCGTTCTCGCCCGCTCACGGAGGCCGCGTGGGTGCGAGCAGCGTCATTCGCCCTCCGACCCCTGACCCCCGTTCAGAGCGTGTGATTGGCGGAGAGGCAACGCAGTGTTTACAGTTGAACGGGAGCGGGCGACGAGCGGAGGGGTAGACCAGGGAGGGGAGCCGTCGGGCGATGAGCCCAGCGGCAGCAGCTGGTCCCAGACCAGCGAGGGGTCGGCAAACGGCGGAACCCCTGCCGTCGGCACGCAGCAGCGAGAGACCTCGGGGGCCAGCGGCCCCAACACATACCAGGCGAGGTACTTAATATATCCTAGCCACCACGGCGAGTGAATGGAGGTGGTGCCACCTGCAGGAAGGAGAGCGGGTCCTGCACGGCGAGGGCGGCGAGCAGCTGGTTGATCTCCTGCTCCAGGCCGCGTGCTGTGCTCTCGTAGTGAGCGATGTCCGCCTGGATGCGGGACAGCACGGAGCGGCCCTCCTCGTCCACGCGCTCCAGCGCCTCCCTCTCCTCCTCCATCAGCTGCTCCCTCCGGCACTCAAACTCTCGGCTGATCCGTGCCTTGGTCCCACGCAGAGACTCCTACACAGACAGTGCCGAGTTGTTGAGTCACCTGTTAGGTAACGACGCAATGTGGCGTCGTACAGGCAATGATTGTTACCATACTTCGATTATGTACATGGAGGTGGGCGGCGTGTGCATTGGGAGCTCGTGAACATATATAGCACAGGGAGAATGGGATATAAGGGGAAAATATCCTAGGCAAAGGTAGTATAGGAAATACTTCTGTCTGTAGCTACAAATTGCTGAGTGTCTAGGTAGGGAAAATGAAATACATCTCTATGGCTATCATTCGCATCTGTCTATCTGTCCATCCCACTCTGGATCAACCAAATGATGCGTCGGAAGGAAACACGAATTAAACCGAAACAATTCACTTGCCGAGGACATTCCCAAGAAATTGTCAAAGGTCTGTGAATATATAGAACAAATACACATCGCATTGCTCTATGGTTTTAAATGAAAATGTGCTGAAAGAGACAAACAATGCTGATTTCGATGGCAATACTGACGTCCACTCTCCCTTGCACTCAGGCTAAGTTGGTGTGGTTCAGATTTGGGGGAGCCAGAAAGGAGGAATCGCATTCTTCCATGGCAAGCATCGTGGTTGTGATCAATAAAGGAATTGACAGGGCAAGTCGCCAACTCACCGTGCAGCGTGGATCGATCCCGTCCCCCCTGAAACCAAACTGCTGTCATGTTGTAAGTTGCGTCGTAAATACATTTTCTGTGTCATTCAGTGGTGGCCTTATACAGGTAGGAACAACAGTTCCACATTGCCCACCAGGGATTATTTGTCTGTCGTGCATATTATTCGCTGCGTTAACTCTCCCATGCCACTGGAGGGCATCTTGGTGCCAGTTTTCCTTTCCTACCCCACCACTTCTGTGCTCTCTCCCTCCCCCGCCGATGCTGCTTCAAGCAATGGCGAATAGGCTTCAACGTAAATATTAAGAGTCTTCATATTAAGAGTCTTCAAGGCGGTACGTGACTCCACAGACATTTGCTTTATCACTAAAAGCACCATGAGTATATTGATCAGCTTTTCTCTCATATCTCTTGACGCAGAGTAAGCTGCCTATGCACATATAATATATTATTGTAAGTTAGGGTACTGGTGAAGCGTACTCAGTGTTTTGTATCTCCTGTACTTTTCTTATCGATTTTCTACCGTTTGCTTATGGAATATTGTATCGATTCTTAAGTCATGGAATCTATAATCCTCCACTTTTTGAGTGCTTGATCAACTTCTTGGCGCATGGGACGCATTTTCACATACACATGTTGCAATGTCATTGTTCAGATCATTATAGATACAATATAAACAATATAATAAACGTACAGCACTTGGTCAAGCCACTGCTAGATGAACTACGCCATGTTAGTCTTATTTTTTATTCATACAGTTATTTTATGGTTACTTTATCCTCAATGCAACATTGTGAAAATGCAAATTGAGTTTTAATTAGGCTTGGGCAAGACACACGTCGTGGCTAAATATGATAATAGCAAGTGGACAGAACTCGGGATGGAATGTAAGCCGAAGGAGAAAACACGCCTGAGAGAAACACATTCCTGCGGAGGGAGCTGGAAGGAACGTTGGGTTGCTCGGTCAATGGCCAGGGTCAACGGCGGCGTGGTGTACTCCGCAAATATACCCGACTGTGAGGGCGGGCACAAGCCAGCGTGAGTAGGTTAAACGTTGAGTTTTATAAGGGCACCACGGGGTGACCAGCCCCTCCCCACCCAGCCCCACCCCTCCCACCCCCCACCCTGCCCCTCCCCATCCTCCCCACCCAGCCTCTCCCCACCCTCCCCACCCAGCCCCTCCCCACCCTCCCCACCCAGCCCCTCCCTCCCCACCCAGCCCCTCCCTCCCCACCCAGCCCCTCCCTACACGACGGACACAATAATCCCCTGTGTGCTGGTGTAACCAGGAGGTTCCTACCAGTAATAGAATAAATTAACATTGAACTTCACTTTACCTGTAGTAAGGAGAGTGGATGGCTTGAGTGGAAGGTGGTGAGGAGGGGAGGAGGTGTCAGTGTTGCTTGGAAGGGGAATCCCCCTCCATAAAAACGTTGGGTAACTGCCCTTCTGGGGTTCTTTCTTTTCTTTGCCCATTTTCTAGCACTAACTGATTCACTTGAGGGCCTTTTTACTAAAAACTGATCAAGAGAGGATTGTTTCTGCCTCCGTTTTAAGATGTTTCTGAAATGATTCAATGCATTATCATTATTAAAATCGCCTGCTCTGCTGGCTACTGACTTATCTGGATGATTTTCTACAAAAGTTAACAGAACGATGTTTTGCGGGTCTGCACTGGGCGAGAGCTATGCGTAAAATGGGTCAATCGTCTTTGTTTCGGTCGCCCTGGCTACGTGTCTCGGCCCATACAGGTTCTTTCAACTTGTTCGACCTCCGAAATTTTGTTCGATGTCCGGAGCAAAAAATGTTCGAAAATTTAGTTCGATCACCGAATTGTTCGAGTTCTGGGGCGTTCGATCTCCGAGGTTCTACTGTAGAGTAAATGTGTATTCCAAGATTTGACCACAACAAACAGAGGAATCAAGTGAAGTAAAACCGTTGAAAAATATTAAAGGGCAGAAATTACTCCATCGAGAAAACAACATTTTCATTCAAACCCAGTACACATGCAACGTTGAGACAACGTTGGCATTTGGTTAACATAGATGAACACACACAGTGTGGTTAACATAGGTGTAAACACACAGTGTGGTTAACATAGGTGTACACACACACAGCGTGGTTAACATAGGTGTACACACACAGTGTGGTTAACATAGGTGTACACACACACACTGTGTGGTTAACATAGGTGTACACACACACAGTGTGGTTAACATAGGTGTACACACACACAGCGTGGTTAACATAGGTGTACACACACAGTGTAGTTAACATAGGTGTACACACACACACAGAGCATAGTTAACATATGTGTACACACACACAGTGTGGTTAACATAGGTGTACACACACACAGCGTGGTTAACATAGGTGTACACACACACACTGTGTGGTTAACATAGGTGTACACACACACAGTGTGGTTAACATAGGTGTACACACACACAGCGTGGTTAACATAGGTGTACACACACAGTGTAGTTAACATAGGTGTACACACACACACAGAGCATAGTTAACATATGTGTACACACACACAGTGTGGTTAACATAGGTGTACACACACACAGCGTGGTTAACATAGGTGTACACACACAGTGTAGTTAACATAGGTGTACACACACACACAGAGCATAGTTAACATAGGTGTACACACACACAGTGTGGTTAACATAGGTGTACACACACAATGTAGTTAACATAGGTGTACACACACAATGTAGTTAACATAGGTGTACACACACACAGAGCATAGTTAACATAGGTATACACACACACAGAACATAGTTAACATAGGTGTACACACACACACAGCGTGGTTAACATAGGTGTACACACACACGCGCCGTTGGCTTCCCCACAAAGCGGTACCTATTTTATCGGCCCAGGAGGAATGGTATGGGTTTATTTCAAAACAGGAACCGCACCTCGTATAGCAGCAGCTCCCAAGGTCGGTAGTTGATAGAGCACACGTGTGTAGAGTGCCCTGTGCAGAAATGTGTACAGTGCTCAACTAAATGTTTTATATGGACCGGGCAGGGCCCACTGAGCTGTATACGATTCCGAAGTGACCTTGCCTCGAATGATGGCTCAACGAATTGGCGGCTTAAATGTAGAGATTGAGTGCCGTGGCCGCCTTCTCCACCCAGCCCCTCCCTCCCCACCCAGCCCCTCCCCACCCTCCCCTCTCCACCCAGCCCCACCCACCCCTCCCATATTTGAAATGCACGACAGACAAAATAATCCCCTGTGGGCTGGTGTAACCAGACGTTCCTACCAGTATAACCACCACAGAGATGAAGCAATGAGATAATTTTATGCGCAGGAGCTGGGTGGATCGCAGGATCATGAGGAATGGTGACAATATTGGGGAACCTTTTCTCCCAGCAGTCGATTGAGCATAGCTGATGATGATGATGAACATTGGCATGTAATGTACATGCATCGAAAATAATCAAATCTCACGTGCATTGTTTATTTGTCAGGAGCATAATCAATTGCAGTTGATGAATATATTTTACGTGCCTACTCAATGCTTTGGGTAGTTGCTAGATTTGTGGGTAAGACACGAGGTTGCCATTTATTAATTTGAAAAAATAATGTTTGATTCCAAGAACACAGGATGAGATGTTACTATCCTTTGTGCAAGCACTTTCAAGAGTTCATGAACAGTGAGCCTGGTGAAATTTGGGGAGCGCATCGTCAGTAGTGTACCTTTGGTTCCTAGGGTGTTTCGGCCTTTCACACTATACACCCTCCCCAAAGGCGGCCAGCGACAGTGTGATCAATCCTACGCTTGCTTCCCATTCCCAATTAGTCATAGGAGTTGCCTTGTTGTAGATAGCCAACATCCCATGGGACTATGCATGGCAGGGGCGTCCTCCCTGAGTCAAGCATTGTTGACCGCATACCTCCTGGCCCTCTCACTTCGGGGCCCAGCTGGGGTCTTTCCTCTTCATCCAGAGCCACTGACTGCTGCCTTCTGCCGCCTCCGATACAGCTCTGATTGCCGAACGCTGGCTCTGGCCCTTAATTCCCAGGTCTCTAAGCAGTCTGGTTGTAGATGTTGCCACAAAACCTCTGCTGCCCACCTCCACTGGTCGGACTTCTGTGTTTCAGCCATGATGCCGTGCTTCGGCAGCTAGATCGGCATAGCGCAGATGTTTTCGCTCATAAGCCTCATCTACTGAGTCCTCCGAGGGTACTGTGAGCTCAATGATGAAGACCTTGAGCGAACGGGACCAGAGCACAATGTCAGGTCTTAGGGTGGTGGTTGCGATCTCCGGAGGAAACACAAGTTGCCGGCCAATGTCAGCTAGCATTTTCCAATTATTAATAATTCGAACATTATACATACATCGTGAGTGTGAAAAAGGATAATTGATAGTATTTGAATATTATACAGGTAGGAACAACAGGTTCCACACTGCCCACCAGGGATTATTTGTCTGTCTGTCGTGCATATTTGTCTGTCGTGTAATTTGCGCAGTTCAGTGACTGTGACTGTCTTGGCATTTTGCAGTTTGCTTGATTGCAAAAGTTTTCGGGACTGCAGGGTCCCACAGTTCAGTGACTGTGACTGTCTTGGCATATTGCGCAACACCCGAGCGTGGCCAACGACACAGGCACGGCGCACCACACGGGGAAGCACTTGGCATCGCGGACGGTCAACGCGTTCACCGGCGGCCACCAATGGTCCATGCCCTTGATGGTACATGCCCTGCTTGGCGCCACGTCAGAGGTCCAGACGGAAACGTTCCGGTACGTGTTCCCGCACGTAGCTGTCGCCTACGTCGATCGGCAATTGGATCGCGCCATCGACGAGGACGGCGAAAACGACGATCCTCCTGACGTTGACCCACCTGTCGATGACGACCAGTTAGTCGACGAGGCCCTGGACGCCCTGGTGTTCGCTGTTGATCCTGACGATAAGGGCGACGGCAGTGTCGATGGCGAGACGGCGTACAAGCTGCCGTCCGGCGACGTCGTCTTCATGTCACAGGCCGAATCGTACAACTACCGCGGGCCTCACTTTGCCGAATTCTCGGCGCATCATCTCAACGTCGCCCCGCGCGATGCTGATGGTGGCGTCGACACCATCCACATCCCGATCGGACTTATCCAACGCAAGCCGAAGACGATCCGGATCGGCAAGGTCACGGTCGCCTACAAGATGCACGCAGGCGACCTGTCGTTCGCAATCACCACATGGAAATGCGAGGGCGCGACGTTTGCGTACATTATCGCCCTGCTGGAACCGAGTCGCAGCAGCCCGAATCTGTCATTAGAGTTGCTGTAAGTGATGTTCAGCCGCGTGCGGCAGGCGTGTCGATTCCGTTGTTTTCCTTTGGCGCCCTTGTTCCGGAAGGCGCACCTCAAGACGTTGCAGCCGAATATACATTCGACGAAATGGCGAATAGACATTGGCAAAAACGGCATGTGAGCCAGCTCCGACGCCACAAGAGTCTGCTGTGGCAGTGAAGCGGCGGGGGTCCAAACCAAGCCCGCCTCCGCCCGATCCGCTCGTCCTGCGCGGGAAACGGTCGTGGCCAGAGGAACCAGCTCCGACGCCTCTGTGGCGGTGAAGCGGCGACCAAGCCTGCCTCCGCCCGGCGTCACTCCACGTCGTCCGCCCCCCGTCTCGGTCAAACACGTCATCTTCGTTCCGGGGTACGGAAGGCTGTTCCTGAACGACTTCCTCTGCTTACAACCTGGCCAGTGGTTGAACGACACCATTATCAACCTGTTTGGGCAGTTCTACTGCCTGCCGCGAGCGGCAGACGTCCACCTGTTCAACACGTTCCTGTACACAAAGTTCTTGGCGGGCCATCTCGACGACTTTAATTGCATCTTCGATGGCTTGTCTTCCATGCCGGTGTGGATCATACCGATCCACGAGCAGTCGCACTAGCAGATCTTGATCATCGTCAACGCCACGTGCCCACCAAGGTCGACTGCCATGCTGTTAGACTCAATGGCTGCGCGGGGGCAGTCGTGCAACGCCAAGAGCATCACGGCCTTCGCCAGCGCGGTGGAGGCCTAGGTCGTGCGAGCCGAAGCGGCGAGCACGCCGGTGGCGAACGCCACGGTGCTTGTGCCACAGCAACCGAACGGCTACGACTGCGGCGTCTACGCCCTGCTCAACATCATGCACCTGGTGAACGATTACGACAGCATCGTGGCCGTTCAAGGACCAGGTCAGGTGGATTGGCAAGCGTGTTACACGCAGGAGGCGGCGTCACAGTACAGACGCGACCAGCTGCAGCAGCTGCATGAACTTAAAGACCTACATCAGCAATAAATCAAGAATCATCATCAGATGCAATAGTAACAGCTACAACCTCCAACACGACTACGGTATCCAACACGGATCGCACGAATGCGCTGTCCAACCAAGTTCCTACCTGCCCACTCTGAAGGAACGTGTTTTTTACGTCGTAAACATGTGTTGCAAATTAAGCCGTGGTAAACCGGATGTAATGTTTCCCAAATGTTTTAATTAAAATTTCACTGATGTGTAAATATACATAAAAGCAATCGTTTAATTGAAGATTAACGTTTCAGAAATGTTATGCGTTCAAATAAATGGGCTTAAAAAATAAGTCCGGGCAGACAAACAGTTTTATGTCATTGATGTTTTAGATTGAAAGAAGGCAGCCAGCAAGTTGTAATTGCTTGCAATTCACCAATGTTATATCCTGCGCCGATACGTGGGGCAGTGCTCGTCAATGATAAAAGCAAGGGATTGATTAAATACAATTCTTAGGAAAACCATAAGAGGGATTTGTGCGGCTACCGTCTCTCTCTGTGGCGAACGCCACGGTGCTTGTGCCACAGCAACCGAACGGCTACGACTGCGGCGTCTACGCCCTGCTCAACATCATGCACCTGGTGAACGATTACGACAGCATCGTGGCCGTTCAAGGACCAGGTCAGGTGGATTGGCGAGCGTGTTACACGCAGGAGGCGGCGTCACAGTACAGACGCGACCAGCTGCAGCAGCTGCATGAACTTAAAGACCTACATCAGCAATAAATCAAGAATCATCATCAGATGCAATAGTAACAGCTACAACCTCCAACACGACTACGGTATCCAACACGGATCGCACGAATGCGCTGTCCAACCAAGTTCCTACCTGCCCACTCCGAAGGAACGTGTTTTTTACGTCGTAAACATGTGTTGCAAATTGGGCCGTGGTAAACCGGATGTAATGTTTCCCAAATGTTTTAATTAAAATTTCACTGATGTGTAAAAATAAATAAAAGCAATCGTTTAATTGAAGATTAACGTTTCAGAAATGTTATGCGTTCAAATAAATGGGCTTAAAAAATAAGTCCGGGGAGACAAACAGTTTTATGTCATTGATGTTTTAGATTGAAAGAAGGCAGCCAGCAAGTTGTAATTGCTTGCAATTCACCAATGTTATATCCTGCGCCGATACGTGGGGCAGTGCTCGTCAATGATAAAAGCAAGGGATTGATTAAATACAATTCTTAGGAAAAACATAAGAGGGATTTGTGCGGCTACCGTCTCTCTCTGTACCTCCACACGCCGGTAGTCGTCCCTGAGTGTCCGTGTCTGTGAAACCGCTGTGTTCCTCTTCCCCTCTCTCCCCTCCTTCTTGACTCTGAGCTCCTGCTGCGTGTGGGAGATGAATAAATACGCGGTACTCACAATTGCCATTGGTGGATCACTGATTGATCATCATCCCGAATCTCTGATTTGCACGGTTGGCTATGCAAGAAGTTCAACAACATATACACATCTGTTGTCATTATATTTCTGCATACATCTCCATTTATAATTTTACTTTTCCCACGATTGTATCCCGACTGCACTATCCGTGTCGTGTATGGAGATGAAAAATCCAATGGGAACTACCGTGGTGTAATGCAATATTTTGTGAGACAACATCATTGACAAATATCATGTACATTCTAAAATATGTTTTAAGCCTCTTCCAGTGATAGATGTAGTGGTTTCTCACGCCCTACGATACATAGTAACGTTTATCGCTTAATCAAACTAAAATTTTTAATTATCATACAAAATATGATTTGACATGTCAAATGTTGACTGGGCGTTGACGATCAACTGACTAAACTTGAGAATCCGATTTAAACCATCGGTGGCAAACGAGATTCCAAGTCAAGATTTTAGCTTTACCATCTCACTATTTTGACATCTGAGCCACCCTGCCACACCTACCTGGGTATCCCTGTAAAGGGACGTTTGTTCTCAAAAGGAGCTCACCTGGTCGAGGTGAGGGGTCACAACCTACTGATGTGAATCTCTCAGCCTCCTGTAACAATGTAGATTACAACGGAACATCACACTTCACCTGTCTTGTCTGTTGCACTTTTTCCACTGTGATGACTCTGTGCCCGGAGTGGTCTCCAGTGATGGTGCAGCCTGTGCAGACCGGGATCTTATCCTGTTCACAGAAGTACTTCAGCTCCTCTCTGTGCTCCCGGCACCGTCGCTCCTCCAGGTTCGCGATGGGAGCCACCAGGACGTGGTCACTCAGCCTGGGATTCTCTATATGAAGCATCAAATGGGTCGCACAGTACGATGTCTCACATCTCAGACAGGTCTTCACTGCAGGAATCTGGCCGTCCCTGCAGTGGTCACACACGACGGCCGTGGCCATCCCGTCTTCAACTCTGAGCTGCTCTGCCAGGTTGCCGAGGGCCACGTTCCTGCTCAGCTTGGGTCGCACAGGGAAGGTCGCTCGGCACTGCGGGCAGCTGAAGCTGCTCGCCGTCTCCCAGGCGGCATCCAGACACCGCAGGCAGAACGAGTGTCCGCAGCTCAGCGTGGAGGGGCAGACGAACGTGCCCAGGCAGATGGTGCAGCGCAGCTCACTATCCACGCTCTCATTGAGTATCGCGTTCGCCGTGACCCATTGCTTCGCTGGGATTGCTCGCTGTGTGGCTCAGAGAGACACTGGACCAGGACCTCTCTCTTATAGCGATGGTGAAGAAGGAAGTAACATACGTAAAATATTTTTATTGTCGTCATTTACATCTCGTGACACTGCCTGGAATGTTAACCCACGCCCTTGGTGCACAAACGCCAGCTTCAAGGTGAACATGTCTACAGCACACGCCTTGATATGAACAAAATGTATCAAATGGATTTACTCTTTAAAATCTAAAATCATTTCAAGAAATTAGTGTTGTTAATAGAAATCGGTGAGGCTCAGCTGCGGTGATTCATTCTAAATTTAGTATCGAGAGAAAAGCTCATCCTACAGCTTTGCGCACAAGTTGGTGTTCGTGGCAAGACAGAGCAATGGATTCGGTGCTACGGTGGCTAGGAGATTTTATCTCGCTCACCTGACGCCTGATTTATGTGTCTTTCTCTCTCCCCCCGTGTTCACGTGGATTTGTATCTGGGTTCTCCGTTTCCCCCCTCGACTTTTAGAATCAACATCAACCGTTTCAGGTATTTGGCTGCATTACATGTCCACATAAGCCACTTCATTTGTGATAGGCAGGTCGCTTCTGAAAGAGAGCCACATAGCTCAGTGAGCCTTACCTGGTGAAATAGAAAAAATTGTTGGTATAGTTGTAGACGTCTCATGTCCTATAATTACATTTCCTGGTAATTACCCCAAAGTGACGAGTTGCTTGAATGTCATTGTGGCATCTGAGATGGAATTTGTCTGTAGACTCCCGTGACCGATCCTGGAATCTTGAGCCTTTTGCTTGCAGTGTGAATCTATCACCAACTCTACCTGCCTCCATCACCCACTGTTGATGATGTCACCGTCTCTCACTCTCACCTTGTCCGAGACTGCAGGTCCCCGTCTCAGTCATTCACAGCCCCACCCACTGCTTATTTCACCTGCGTTGTTTCACATTCACACGCACAGCTATTGCATACTCGTCCTCCATTCATTTTTCTACATCCCCCTCCCCAAGTCGTCTTGTCTTAGCTCATCACACCACGCCGCCCCATTAGCGTGTTGAGGCACAGTGTGGTGCAATGCACAGGCATAATGGCAGCTAAAAAAGCCTGACGGCCGCTCCTCAAGGTTTTTCAGAACAACCACAAGTGTTCTTCCCCGAGTAGATCCCATTGTCCTAAGAAGTTATTTATTTTCAAGGACGACTTTGCCAGAAGACAACATAAAAGCGTTCTGTAATTACATACCCACTGACTGGCCCAATCACATACTCATGTAATTATACACTCACTTGTCCACTCACTCACCCACTTATAACACCCACTCACTCATTAACCCACCCTCCCACTCGCCAACTCATTCACCCATCCTCCCACTCGCCCACTCTCTCCCACACACTTCAGACTCATAAGACTCTAAATTTTACTTCCCTGACTAGTGCTTACTGAGCTAAGAAGCTATTTTTCAAGGATGACCCCGCAAGCAGATGTGGGCAAGTTTTTTGTCATTGGCCCTCCCCAACTCTTTGCCTGCCACGAGAGACCCGGGCAACCAAAATAACAAGAAGAGCCATTTTTTTCAGAATCGCAAAAGAGAAAAATCTATATTTCAAGAGCCGCCACTATGCATGTGAATACAAGATGTGGGTATGTGCATAGAACTTTTTTGGCACCGTACTTAGCCAACCGTGTTAATCAGAGGTGCGGGAGAAGGAAATCAAACTAAATACAACAACCAGCATTAAAAAAAAAAAATTGTTAATCTCGATTTAACAGCGCATGACTCTAGTGGTTTCTTAACCAAACCGGAACACTCTTGCGCTCAGACGACAGCGGGTGGGATGCCTTGTGCATGACTAGTACGAGTGGCAGAACCGGCAAGAGCTGTATTTCTGAATGGGGATGTTTTTTCAACGATTTTCTTTAACTTGATTCCTCTGTTTCTCTGTCGTGGTCAAATCTTGTAAACACGTTTCTTCGGAGTGGGCAGGTAGGAACTTGGTTGGACAGCGCATTCGTGCGATCCGTGTTGGATACCGTAGTCGTGTTGGAGGTTGTAGCTGTTACTATTGCATCTGATGATGATTCTTGATTTATTTCTGATGTAGGTCTTTAAGTTCGTGCATCTCGTAGGCGACCGTGACTTTGACGATCCGGATCATCTTCGGCTTGCGTTGGATCAGTCCGATCGGGATGTGGACCGCGTCGACGCCACCGTCAGCATCGCGCGGGGCGACGTTGAGATGATGCGCCGACTATTCGGCAAAGTGAGGCCCGCGGTTGTCGTACGATTCGGCCTGCGACATGAAGACGACGTCGCCAGACGGCAGCTTGTACGCCGTCGCGCCGCCGACGCTGCCGTCGCCCTTATCGTCAGGATCGACAGAGAACACCAGGGCGTCTAGGGTCTCGTCGATGAACTGGTCATCATCGACAGGCGGGTCAACGTCAGGCGCCGGAGGATCATCGTTTTTGCCGTCCTCGTCGATGGCGCGATCCAATTGCCGATCGACGTAAGCGACAGCTGCGTGCGGGAACATGTACCGGAACGTTTCCGTCTGGACCTCTGATATGGCGCCCAGCAGCGCATGTACCATCAAGGACATGGACCATTGGTGGCCGCCAGTGAACCCGTTGACCGTCTGCGATGCCAAGTGCTTCCCCATGCGGTGCGCCATGGCTGTGTCGTCGGCCACGCTCGGGTGTTGCGCAATGTCGTCCGGGGCCGACAGGAGCACAGCAGCAGCCTGGAACAAAGGAACGCCCTCCTTCGTCATATACGCCGCCTCGTACTCCTCGACGGCTTCGCCGGCATCCTGACCACTAGTGAAGGATGAGTTGTTGTGGCAACCGAACAGATTGGTCGTGATCAGGTGCGATTCTACAAGCATCGTGTCGGTCGCAGGGCGCCGCATTTCCCATACGATCGGGCCAACGTGACGCGGGCAGATGAGCTGGTTGCCCAACGGGTCATACGGGCCGTCAATCACGTCCAGCATTGCTTGATCGACAGGCAGGCCGATCAGAACGGCGCGCTGATTGTCCTTGTGCTCTGGGCGCTTGTGCATAGCGATCATGAGAGGGCAGGTATGCTCCTCATGAACGCCATTGCCATGCACAAGCGGCACATATACAAGCCCTTCGGTGGCTTTTCGCAGGAGAATCCATGTTTGTGGTGCTGTGACAAGGCGGACTTGCGTTGCCCCACGGCGACGAACTCGCCGTAGTGGGCCATCGCATCCGGCACGTTCAGGTTGGCAGCGCGCGGGCGCGCGACGTTGCCGTCTTGCGCGACAATCCCGTCGTACCACTCGCACACAGCAGGAGCCAGGTGTGTACAAGCCGTACTGTCGAGAATGTTGCCAATGACGATCTGAACATCGGTTGGCGCGGCAGCCAACCGAGTCAGTAGCGACGGCGTCAGGACCGGACAGTACGTATTCAGATGCCAATGCAGCCAACCGCCCTTCTGCGGCTCAATCACGCCGCTGACGGCAGCAATATTGAGATACGCACCGCGCTCCCGCTGCAAGTAGTCACGCGAGACGTGAGTATGTGCAGCCATCGGACACCGTACAACGTCATCGAGCAGGATGCGCATGTGGTTGGCGAAAGACATTGCGCCCAGAGCAGGATGGGGATGCGTCACCGCCATCCTCGCGCCGGCGTTGGAAACGAAATCGTCGAGCAGGTCGGCGCACGTGAAACCTGTCCGCTTCAGTGGGCAGTTGACATTGTTCCATTAGCAAGTATCGCGCATGATGACCAGGCGCAGGACAGAGAGGTCCTCGAACTCGGGCGGCGACCCCGTCAGGAAATGACTCCCAATCCCGTACCGGAGACGCATCGCAGCCAGCTTGGGGCGCGTGGCCTCGCGCTCAAATGGGCTAAATGGGACAGTCGATCCGACCATGGACATGATGCGGCACACCTTGGCTTATTGGCCTCGTCTGACAGCGGGTTGTTGTGTGCCCAGAGCAGGCGTTGTTGGAATGCCGACGAATTGGCCAGCTCGCCGAGTTTCTGAAGCTGCGAAGCCCGTTTGGCGCCTATGCTCGCTGTCTGCCGGATGCATGCGTGCCGCTGCAGCTGATTGAATGCAGTCACAATGAAGAACAGGTCCTCGAACCGGCCATCGTAGTAGAGAAAGAGATGGCGCAGGAACAAAGACGCGAAAACCGCCGACATGACGTCGTTCTCGTCCCACTCGACGATTGGGTCTTCGCCTCGCGAAACCACCACGATAGGAGGGGGAGCACAATCTCCGGCATTCTTATCGTCGGGGTGAATGATGTCGCTCAGTGCCTGCAGTGCCAGGTTGACGCCGCCGCTGAGGAGAGATGGTTTGGGCAAGACCGCCGCGTGAACAAGGTCGTAGCCCGTGCTGCTGGCCGGCGACTCTGCCGCGTCGTTGTTGACGTCATCATCGTCGACATGCGCATTCATTGCAGCGACATCAGCGTCGTCATTGCAGATGGCGTCGTTCTCGATGGCGGCACCCTCCTCGTCCAGGCGTCGGCGCATTTCGGGGGAATTGTCGATGGTAATGCCGTCGAATCGCGGATGCTTGACCCCGGTCCAGAGCTCGAGCCACTGGTGTGCTCCGGTTACGTCGATGTTGTACATGCAGCGGAAACGAGCCTGCGCCTTCCGCCAGGCGTCACGTGGCCCGAGAAATGTCACTTGCAGGCGTTGCACTGGGGAAACCGGGGGCAGCACGGTGGCCACCTCGACAGGATCGTCTTGCGTGAAACAAATGGCGTTCCCCGTTGAGTGGTTCGCCCTTATCAAGATGTCAATATTGAAGGCTCGGGCTGGTAAAATCGCGTTGAGCGTCGTGCTGTTCACTTTGGGCAGCGACCCCCGCCGACCATAGTCGTCATCGTTGCAGAGGCTGAAGTCGTGGTCGGCCGGATCCTTCGCACAGGTCGAGCACAGGATGACGTTGTTGACATCAGGCACGAGATCCGGATTGAGATGGTACCGGACGTCGTTTTTGCGC